ACAACATACTGGAAAAAAACTATGGTAGGAAATGCTAAATTGAGCTAGTGAAGAGTAGAGGTGCCATAGGCACAGAGAACCTATATGAACATAAGGGGTCAATGGCTGTTCAATATCCTCCCAGCAAGTATAAGAAATATTGCTGGAACAAAAGTGGACTTCGAGAATAAATGTGTTTCCTGCAAGAAGTGCCAGACTAACCAGGTTGTAGTGGATATGTGGTCCTCCGGGCTGCCCCAAGCAACAGTCTACTTGACCAAGCTTGATCCCAGGCTGGGCTTGGGAAGTAGAATAACTTCTAGAACTCGTTATAGGTACAACCCAGGTGGGCCACATTGACCCTCCCATTTTACCCCATAAACACCCCCTCCCCCCAAAGAAATATGTTGCTACCCAGAGACCACAGTCACTGGATATGCTCCACAACCAGACGACATAACAATGAAGAATGTACAGGCCTCTATGCATTGCAAACACATAGGGGTGGTGAAGCTACTTGGAAACATTTCACACATGCAGCATCACAGGCAGGAGACGCGAGCAGAAGCCAACGACACCTGTCTGTGTGGGATGCATGAGAGTGCCCTCATCACATCAAAACAAAGCTCTCAAAGGGGAATGTTCTTTTGAAGGTGAGGTGTCCATGCTTTAGATACAGTAGTCCAGATGAGGGGCACACCAAAAACTTGTAAGTTGAATAACCACTTTCTTTCCTGTGAAATCAAAGGTTTGTTTGACTATCTCCATTTCTAGTTTAGCATTAATGTATAAGGCAGAAGTAAATAACTTATTTTATACTTATAGTAGGATAATAAAAGTTAATTATTCTTTTAAATGTAAGAAAACCTATTTTCCAAACATTTTTGTAATCGAAGTTACAATGATAAATTCTTTTAACAAAATAATTAGGCCAACATTTGACTTATATATACATTGCACTTTATAGTGTTTGTGTGTTTGTTAACATGGTACTCTTACAGTAAGTCATGACACCTTCAGTTTTTTTAACAAGTTTTTATTGATTCATTTGTTTTCTCTTAAGCTGACAATTAAAATTGACAGCAGATAACCCAATGGGATAACTTAGAGCTGACACTTTCAGCTTGCCTTTTCCGCTGCCACAGCGTTGCTTCACTTGGGAAAAGACATCATCAACAGCACTGCCATTCATTCTAATAGGCACAATAGCCCTGTCAGAGTGCCTGCCATGAAAACTCATGCACAAGCTTCTGAATCCATCTAATGACAAATGAAGACCTTCCCATGTTTGCCAAGATAAGAACGCCTTTTGTCTGGGATTCCTGACCTGACAACCAGATGTTCCTAGAAAGAAAATATACAATATGTACAGTATATATATAAAAGTAGCTTGAAAACAGATATAGGAACTTACAAGTACTGTACTGTATATGCAGACGATGAATCACAACATGGCTAAAGATATGATATCCAAACTACACACTAGAAAATGAAGGAAAGATAACTTTTCAGTTCATCCTGGACTTGATAATGGTCCTGGATGGACCGAAACGTCCAATATTCTTTCAATATTGTGACTAGGACCTCTAGTATTTATTACAAATGTGTATAAAGGCAGGATATCAAATAACTGACAACACCTGGTAAGGAAAGGCAATTACTCAGTATCTGGATAAAGTAATAAGGCAAGATGACTATTTAGCACTTGGAAGGGATATGAGGATAAGGACCTAGGATAAGAGTTAGGAATGAAGAAACAGTACCCAATTACGTAAACCATTTGGAATTGAAAACCTACTATTCAATAAGTGATGCTTATACTGGACTGGCTATTCTAAGTGGCTTGATACTGAGAATTTCAGTGTGGAAAGGTAGTAACTGCTTGGTATTTATCCACTGTGCAAAATGACGAAGTAAAAGATTAAATGAAAGATAATTTAAATGTTAAATTTAACCAAAAATCAACCTACCATGTACATCTTTCAACCAGTCACAAAACCCCTGATACGCCTCCATGATATTAGACAATGCATCTTGATTTGTGGCAACACCCACATGGCTCAAGAGACCAATTTCAAATATTTAGTTGGTTGCACATACAAATTTCCATGTCATTATGGATGGAGAAAAAGGCCTTCTTATTCCTTCTTTATACAAAAGAAGGAATGTCTTTTGTATGACTGATTTTGATTCTTCATTTGTCATTTGCTGAATTTCCTTCTCTAGAGCATCCACAACCTCGGGTTTCTGCAAAGAAATGAAGATACAAGTAACAAAGAAATTATCAGATAACTACAGTTGGAAAACGTAATGGAGGAACCCTTCACGAGTTACAGGTTGTCCTTCCCCAAGGCGGCCATGCTGAATGTGAAGGCCAGGTGAGTGTACCATATATGTTTACTCTGTCTTTGCTTATGCTGTACGACAACATACGGGTATGATGCAATAGTTCTTGTAACAGGCTAGCACTATTGTGATGGAATGGTTCTTGTATCAGGCTAGCACTATTGTGGTGGAATGGTTCTTGTATCAGGATAGCACTTTTGTGGTGGAATGGTTGTTGTATCAGGCTAGCAATATTGTAGTAGAATGGTTGTTGTATCAGGCTAGCACTTTTGTGGTGGAATGGTTGTTGTATCAGGCTAGCAATATTGTGGTGGAATGGTTGTTGTATCAGGCTAGCACTATTGTGGTGGAATGGTTATTGTATCAGGCTAGTACTATTGTGGTGGAATGGTTGTTGTATCAGGCTAGCACTATTGTGGTGGAATGGTTATTGTATCAGGCTAGTACTATTGTGGTGGAATGGTTGTTGTATCAGGCTAGCACTATTGTGGTAGAATGGTTGTTGTATCAGGCTAGCACTATTGTGGTGGAATGGTTGTTGTATCAAGATAGCAATATTGTGGTGGAATGGTTGTTGTATCAGGCTAGCAATATTGTGGTGGAACGGTTGTTGTATCAGGCAAGCAGTATTGTGGTGGAATGGTTGTTGTATCAGGCTAGCACTATTGTGGTGGAATGGTTGTTGTATCAGGCTAGCAATCTTGTGGTGGAATGATTGTTGCTTCAGGCTAGCAATCATACGGTCCTGGGTAGGCAGCCTCATTGAGGGAATAATTTAAATGTAAGCCTTAAATTTAATATGTTAGTCTATATATTGAAACAATATCCCAAATAGCTCACAAATACCAAGTCACATAATGAAGAAATAGATTGTCTCACTTGGTCTGTGAGATGCCAGAGACTGTGAATGGGTTCACTGACAAAACATTACTCTGCCTCTGTACTTTGAGGCTTTAACTGCAATAGCTGCACAAAGGAAGCATAGGGATGAATTTAAAACTACTGTATTATATATTATTTAGTCTTTGAACAGTGCATTCACAACTATGTAAAATTATTGAATCCTACACACATACCTTATTATGAAAGAGTGCAAAAAAATAACCCACATATTGTCTAACATTATTCAAGACAGTAAACATAATGCACATTATGCACATTTTTTTGTGTAATGACATTTTCAAATAAAGTTAGATAAATATACACACTTAACAAAAGAATAGGGGTGGTAGGAGAAGAAAATATCAAAGTGTTCAGTGAGGATCCACAAGGTCTTCTCTGAGTACTCTTTATTTTCTTCTCCGAGGCTATGGGTCCCTACACTTGCACCATATATATATATATATATATATATATATATATATATATATATATATATATATATATATATATATATATATATATATATACTATGGATAGTTATATATATATCTACTACCCTATATATAAGAAAATATATATATATATATATATATATATATATATATATATATATATATATATATATATATATATATATATATATATATATATATATATATATATATATATATATATATATATATATATATATATATATATATATATATATATATATATATATATATATATATATATATATATATATATATATATATATATATATATATATATATATATATATATATATATGTTTATATATACTGTATGTCGTACCTAGTAGCCAGAACGCACTTCTCAGCCTACTATGCAAGGCCCGATTTGCCTAATAAGCCAAGTTTTCCCGAATTAATATATTTTCTCTAATTTTTTTCTTGTGAAATGATAGAGCTACCCATTTCATTATGTATGAGGTAAAAAAAAAATTATTGGAGTTAAAATTAACGTAGATATATGACCGAACGTAACCAACCCTACCTAACCTATCTTTATAGGTTAGGCTTGGTTAGGTAGCCGAAAAAGTTAGGTTAAGTTAGGTTAGGTAGGTTAGGTAGTCGAAAAACAATTAATTCATGAAAACTTGGCTTTTTAGGCAAATCGAGCCTTGCATAGTAGGCTGAGAAGTGCGTTCTGGCTACTAGGTACGACATTATATATATATACTGTGTATATATATATATATATATATATATATATATATATATATATATATATATATATATATATATATATATATATATATATTATATATATGACCAAAAGGGTAAGATTAATGATGCTAACACGAATCTTCTCAATATTTCTTATGTTTTTCTTCACTGTCGAGGGTAGTTGAAAAATTAACTCTCCAAAGTTCATTTTCACACTTTATTTATGGTCTGATACCTAGAAGCATTTCGCGAGACACTTCTTACATTTTCAAAGAAAATTTTACATACTCTGTTTAATACTTATATCTGTTTTTGGGGTGAGGTGATACAGGACATGAATCAATGGGTACACTGCGTGTTTTATAGTCTTGCGTTGATTCAGCGTTTTGAAGTGGGTAGAATGTAATTATGTGTTAATTGGCTGCTGATTGCTGGTTTTGACTTGTTGATGTGTAAGGCTTCGCTGATGTTGAATCTCCTATTGTCATTGTACTAACCTAACCTAACCTAACCTAACCTACCTGCAGTATATGGCGGGTTCATTTTTTTTTTTTTTTTTTTTTTTTTTTTTTTTTTTCTTGAGATATATACAAGAGTTGTTACATTCTTGTACAGCCACTAGTATGCGTAGTGTTTCAGGCAAGTCCCTGGAATACGACCCCCCACAAAGAATCGTTTTTACAACCAGGCACACATTTTACTTTTGAGTTAAACAGTGGCTACAGTTAAGGATTTGCGCCCAGTAAATCCTCCCCGGCCAGGATACGAACCCATGACGAGGCCTTCGCGGGACGCCAGGTGAGTGTCTTACCACTACACCAAGGAGACTGGTGGTGCCTTCATCGGTACTCAAGAAGGGTCCCTCTTTAGTTCAGGCGTTGAGTAACTTCCTCAGTATGCTTTCTGGTATGTCCAAAGGGGTACAAGCCAGGTTACGATTCACACTGTCCATCATCATCCTGATCGTTTCGTCTACAGGCACGTTGGCAAACAGAGACTCCACATCCAGAGAGGCTCTTATCCCTGTGGCCCGTGCTTCCCGCAGTAAGTCAACGAATTCTTTTGGAGACTTCAGGCTAAAAGTACAAGGCACATAAGGTGTCAGCAGGCAGTTGAGTCGCTTAGCCTGTCTGTATGTGGATGTGGGTATCTGGCTGATGATTAGCCGAAGTGGGTTTCCAAGCTTGTGGGTCTTTACATTCCCACATGCGTAACCAGGTTTTTATTCCCCGATAACCTTTGGCAGGTGGAGTTCAGATTTCTTAGCATTCACAGTTTCAATCAGTCAGTTTACCTTCATTTTAAATTCAGCTTTAGTGTCCCTCGTTACCTTTGGAATTTAGTTTGATGAGAGAGGCGGAGGTTCATTTTTGCCAGATGTTCGTCTTTAAGAATAACGTATACTGTATTGGCAACTTGTCACCTCTCCTGACAACTACTTCCTTATTCTCACAAAGGCTCTTAGCTACCATTTTGAGCTCGGGGGACAATATGGTGCTTCTGTAGTTGCCTTGAATCTTTCCGAGGAAAAATGAACCTCATCCTCTCCGATGAACATTAATGATAATGAACATTACTTAGACTTGATAATGGTCCAAGACAGACCAAAAAGTCATTGTCTCCTCATCTTCTGGTGTGTGGTTTAGTCATCATATCTTCAGTCATGTTATTGACTCGTCATCTGCTAAATAACAAGGAATACCAAAGCAAAATATATTTACTCCAATCTTTATACAAGAGGTTTGGGATCATTAAAACTCCAAAAAAGTGTACTGCATGGAGGTCTGGCCAACTGAAGATCAAAGTAACCCCTTTGTGTTGTATTAACAAATTTAAACAGTACAGTACTGGCAATAAAATCCATTTTTCTGGGGGAAGATTCCCCCTGTGGTTCAACTGAAGCATCAGGGAGCCACCCCCAGAGAGAGGCATTTCATTACATTCAATGCTGGTTTATTAATGAACTTGCAGCACCTGCAAGAAACTTGAAAGGCGAGAGCGCTAAATGGCATATATTAAGGCTATCGGTGAATTATAGGAAAGTAATAACACAGATGGCTAATAGGACAAAACTTAATTTGGAAAAAGTAAATTAACAAGAACAAATCATTGTTAGATATATTCCATAAACCAAATTTAATAAAGAATAATTTTTACTTTTCAATAAATATTGTACATTTATTGAGCATTAATACTAATTGTGTTAATGACATTTTCAGGTTATCTTGATCAATATTACATACAGGTTCTTACTGAAAGAGAGAATTCTGTGAATTGCTGTGTAAACAATTATATAATGACCATTAAAAACTCTTCCAAATTGTGACTGTTTTCAACTTGTAATCTTTACCAATATACTGTATTAGTATAAGTTCTTACTTATAGGTCACAGAATATGAATTTTTGCATATATACAGTAATGTTCAATTTACTACTAAAAACTATTACTATAGAGAATATTTTTATTACTATAGTGACTATTCTCAACTAGTAGAAATATTACATTACAATAATGGTAACAAGACATTTTTCACAAGACACCTTCAAAAATTCTTACCCGTTTCATAAGTTTGCTTCTGGCAGCGCCTCCTTTCACTAGATCATCTTGGTTACTGTTATCAGTTCTCTACAGCCGTGTTCTGGTGGTGTTCTGTTCAGTGGATTGCACTGCAGAGCTCATACAGCTTGCAGCCTTCATATTATAAACTTCATTCCCCTGTAACCAGAATTGGGTAGAGTTCATCTTGCTGTATATTCTCTCCAGATGAAGCCCAGTCTTTCTTCAAAATTCCTATTATGGAAGGTTCTTGTAATTTTGCATTATTTGTGATGTTTATTTGACTCGTTGATCTCTCTCTTGAGCATCCTTTCTCCAAATATTTAGATTTACTTAGTACATCAGATACAGTTCTTGTACTGTCACAATGATAAGCTAGTTCACTCTGATGAGTGTTCCCTATTTCAGCTTCATCGAGTTCTGTGAATTCTGTATCGGTTTGGGGACAGGTAAATATATATGGTACAGCTGTCAGTTTCAATATTTTGTTTGGTTGGCAGAAATCTGCAAAAATAGACAGCATGATACAATATGGATGTACAGGTATATGCAACAAAACATTACTATTTAATATATTAACCAATCTTCATCTTACAAAAAAATATAATTAACTAATTCATGTGTTTTCATGGCTCTCTAAAAAATTTAATCTTGCTCCTTATGGTAAATAATTACAGGCCTTAACATATTAAGAAAATAGTTAAGCTGGCAATACAGAACAATACTGTATTAGTAACAGAAATCACAACATAAATGTATAAAAGGTGTCCAACATTAAGGAAATACAGTATATATCCTAATAAAGATGTTCAAAGAACTCAATAAAAGCAGTGGTGACACCCCCGAGGAGGTTAGCTCACCCAAGAAGGCTGACATTACCCATGCATGGTTGACATGCCTAGTACAACTTGACTTGTTTCCATGACAAGCAGCATTCACATTCACACAATTTAACTTAAAAGTAGTTTACTATATTGCAAAGTCACCAGTCTCTGGATGATTCACCACAAATTTTTAAACTATGTTTATTTCAAAATTATAGCATAAATCAAAATAGTTAAGACATTGTTCTATAAAATGGCACTGGAATAGATACTAGATAGTATCACTATAAATATAATGTATTTTATAACATGTAGCTTACCATGGAATACCATGGAACTTTTACATTTAGACTTGATTTGCAATTGGGGATCCTGGGGTTTGATTCCCAGAAAGGACAAAAATAGTTGGGTATGTTTACTTTTACCCAATGCCTCTCTTAACCTAGAATTAAACAGGTAACTGGAAGTTAGGTAACTATTGTGGGGGCTGCATCCTGGGAAGAGTCAGTAGTTCGAGGTTAGTGGTGGTGTGGGACTCAATACAAGCCTAAAGTATATACCGGTATATAAATACAAAGGCTTCCTGTCCCTTACAAAACAAATTAATTATGGTATTATATTACAATCTTTAACATATCAACTGAAATCAGAATTAAATACCATCCATGACTTGTATCTTTCTTATAAAAATGATAAGGATCTACAACATACAGTACAATGTACTCTCCTAATGAAAGAAACAATAGTAACATTACTGTTGGTTACATTACAACAGTAACATAATCTATCGTTACCAAATGGTATATTTAATCAAAAGTCATAAAAAAGAAACATGAATATAAAGACTAATATAAGCTTGGTCTAGCCTCAAAAGAATTTCCAACAAGATAACTCTTTCAACACTTATATAATAAGAGCTAAACTATCCTTCCATGTAAACAAACTTAAAAAGAGCAAAACAAACATAAAAGCCGTCTTTAACATCTTGGGATCCAAACAACACCCACACAACAAAAATTAACTTCAATGAAGAGGATAATGCAGTACTGAACTCTGGTCTTAGATTCAGAAATAGTAACTGTACTCGCCTAGTTGTGCTTGCGGGGGTTGAGCACTGGCTCTTTGGTCCCGCCTTTCAACTGTATTTAGTTACAAAGACTTATACCTCAACAGTAACCCTGACTTGGAATTATTCTTAGACGAACGCAAGTAATTGTCAAAAGAAGGTGCCAAGATGGATGCAATATTACCAATGAACATCACCTTAGAATTAGGAACTATAGTATATCTTTGACATTCCTCAATCTGATTTACTTAATTTATACAGGGCATTGTATGTGCACAGAAAAATAGCATTCATATCTAGGTTTTTGTCTTCCTATATTGTTAAAAACCATGCCCCAAGTGTCCTAAAAATCTTGTCACGTTTGAAAGTGGCAGATGTTTACTGGAGCCCTCAAATACCGATTGGGAATAATGTGCAAGTGGGCATTTTAAATGTTGAAAAAGTGCTGTCTACACTCAGTAATCCGAATCACGTGGGGCCCACCCCATACGAGTTAGCCAACTTTTTATCAGGAACATTAAAACATGACCAAATTCTAATTTATTCTGGTTTCTCATTTGGCAGAAATCTCAGTAACCTAAATTTTGATTTTAATTGAGAAGTCAAGCACCTGAATTAAAGTTTATTCAAGCTTCTCATTCTGCATAATCTTTTTATTTGAATTCCTATTCAGGTTAAAAGATAAAAACTCAATGTGAATTCATTCACATTACTCGGAGATTCGGGTTAGCGGAAACTTAATTACCAAGTTCTTACAATACCTAAAACAGTTTAGGATTATGTGCATCATGGGATAAAATCTTACAATGGCATGTATATTTCAAAGATTAAAATTGACAATACAGTACTTCCGTTAACCTGCATATCACTGCAAATTTTCAATGTACAGTAAAACTAAATAAATTTGTTAGCGTTAAACATGGCCAAAATGCTGCAATAGTGGCTTTGTAAGAAAGTACTATCCTAAGCCAAATTTTTATGTAAAAATACAAGAGATCATTTTTGTAAATATTAAAAAAAAGTTAGAAATACTGTTAAATACCATTAGAGGAGAAGGGAAATGGCCGATATCTCCAAGGATTGCAGGCTCTATTCGTTGCCATGTCTGGGCGGTCAGCAGCAGGGAGAGTAATGTTAGGCCTGTCAGCAGGAAGAAACCTCCAGGAAGTGTTGGCACACAACCCTGTGCAGTCAGCAGGATAGGATGCCATATCTGTGTGGTCAGAAGCAGGAAGCCTTCGGGGAATACTGGCAATATACCCTGCCAGGTCTGGTCGGTCGGGGGCACGGAGGGCCAGGTCTGGTCGGTCGGGGGCACGGAGGGCCAGGTCTGGTCGGTCGGGGGCACGGAGGGCCAGGTCTGGTCGGTCGGGGGCACGGAGGGCCAGGTCTGGTCGGTCGGGGGCACGGAGGGCCAGGTCTGGTCGGTCGGGGGCACGGAGGGCCAGGTCTGGTCGGTCGGGGGCACGGAGGGCCAGGTCTGGTCGGTCGGGGGCACGGAGGGCCAGGTCTGGTCGGTCGGGGGCACGGAGGGCCAGGTCTGGTCGGTCGGGGGCACGGAGGGCCAGGTCTGGTCGGTCGGGGGCACGGAGGGCCAGGTCTGGTCGGTCGGGGGCACGGAGGGCCAGGTCTGGTCGGTCGGGGGCACGGAGGGCCAGGTCTGGTCGGTCGGGGGCACGGAGGGCCAGGTCTGGTCGGTCGGGGGCACGGAGGGCCAGGTCTGGTCGGTCGGGGGCACGGAGGGCCAGGTCTGGTCGGTCGGGGGCACGGAGGGCCAGGTCTGGTCGGTCGGGGGCACGGAGGGCCAGGTCTGGTCGGTCGGGGGCACGGAGGGCCAGGTCTGGTCGGTCGGGGGCACGGAGGGCCAGGTCTGGTCGGTCGGGGGCACGGAGGGCCAGGTCTGGTCGGTCGGGGGCACGGAGGGCCAGGTCTGGTCGGTCGGGGGCACGGAGGGCCAGGTCTGGTCGGTCGGGGGCACGGAGGGCCAGGTCTGGTCGGTCGGGGGCACGGAGGGCCAGGTCTGGTCGGTCGGGGGCACGGAGGGCCAGGTCTGGTCGGTCGGGGGCACGGAGGGCCAGGTCTGGTCGGTCGGGGGCACGGAGGGCCAGGTCTGGTCGGTCGGGGGCACGGAGGGCCAGGTCTGGTCGGTCGGCGGCTCCGAGCGCCAGGTCTGGTCGGTCGGGGGCACGGAGGGCCAGGTCTGGTCGGTCGGCGGCTCCGAGCGCCAGGTCTGGTCGGTCGGGGGCACGGAGGGCCATGTCTGGTCGGTCGGCGGCTCCGAGCGCCATGTCTGGGCGGTCGGCGGCACCGAGCGCCATGTCTGGTCGGTCGGCGGCTCCGAGCGCCATGTCTGGGCGGTCGGCGGCTCCGAGCGCCATGTCTGGGCGGTCGGCGGCTCCGAGCGCCATGTCTGGGCGGTCGGCGGCTCCGAGCGCCATGTCTGGGCGGTCGGCGGCTCCGAGCGCCATGTCTGGGCGGTCGGCGGCTCCGAGCGCCATGTCTGGGCGGTCGGCGGCTCCGAGCGCCATGTCTGGGCGGTCGGCGGCTCCGAGCGCCATGTCTGGGCGGTCGGCGGCTCCGAGCGCCATGTCTGGTCGGTCGGCGGCACCGAGCGCCATGTCTCGTCGGTCGGCGGCTCGGAACGAAATGTCTTGTCCGTCGGCAGTAGGGAAGGAAATGTTTTGTTGGTTAGCAGAGAAAACCATGCCTTGTTGGTGAGAAACAGGAAATTCCATTCCTCGTTGGCCAGCAGCAAGGTATGCTCTGTTTGGGTAGTCAATAGCAGAGCGGTCAGCATTCGGGAACGCCATGGGTGGGAGGTCAGCAACTGGTGACACCATGGTTGGGCAGTCAACAGCAGGAAATGCCATGGCTGGGCAGTTACCAGGATGGCATGCCATGTACTGTCGGTGATCAGCAAGAAACGCCATGTTTGGGCAGTCAGCTGCAGAGAATGCTACAGCTGGCAGATCAGCAGTATGGGGTGCCATATCTTGGGGGTCAGCAGTTGCAAGGCGCCAGGGAGTGTTGGCACTGTACTTTGCCATATCTGCTTGGCGATCAACAACAGGGAGCCTCCAGTGAGAGCTAGCACTATAGTCTGCCAAGTCTGCCAGCAGTAGAGAGCCAGCAACACGTTTACAGCAGAAGGAATGTTGTTGATTTAAGAGCGACGACGATCAAGGGATCGGATGCGCCCCGGCTGCCCGAAAAAGCCGCCTTGACTGTTTACATATTTAGTAGGGACCATGCTTGTAAATGTTGACATTACAATGCAATCTTTGTTGCATTTATTTAGTACGCAGCTTTTAAGTTAAGAAATAATAATAATTCATTGTATCGGGTGACAGGCAGCCAGTTTATACATACAGTACAATTTGGCTTTTATCAAGACCCCCTCAGGTGAGAACACCCCCCCCCCCTCCTCCATAGGAAACAACATGCTGACTAATTTACTTATTAATTATATATACACAAGAAGGTACATTGGGTTTATGAGAGTACATAGCATTGATGTTTTTACATGCTTGTAAAGCCACTAACACGTATAGCGTTTCGGGCAGGTCCTTATAATCTAACAGGTAATTTGAAGTAGGTAATTTGTAGCAAAATTTGCAGAATATTAACAGGTACATTTGAAGAAAATCAATAAGTACATTGTAGTAAAATTTTAGGATTATCAACAGGTACATTGTAGCATAATTTGAGGATTATTTAGAGGTACATTTTAGTAAAATTTCCGTTCAACATAACAACCAGAAATCTTAGGCAAATATTCCCAATTTGCATATGGGGATAGTTTGCTAGCTGGGAATAATCACTTAATAACTAGGTGATTGTAACCTATCCACCGCTGCCCACTGGATGGGGGGCGGTGTGCAGGACAAACATATCAATTTTGACACTAGCTCTCCACATATGTCAGTTGCTTACTTTAGAAACTGTATTTGTGGTCGATCTCGAACCCATTGTTGTTGTGACGACTTATACTGAATTTTGTAACTAGCTCATCAAGATTGTAACTTGCTTAGCTAAATGAATTGTGGGGTTCAGTCCCTGAGCCCATTATGTGCCTCTGTAACCCTTTCCACTACCGCCCACAAGATGGGTATGGGGTTCATAATAAATGAACTGAGCTTTGAGAGCAGTGATTACAATAGTGACGTTGTATGACTTAGTTATATATATTGGGAAGTGGGTAGCACAAGATACAGTGCGAGTTTGAAGAACAAGGTGGGAAACTATGAGGATGAAATTAGGTACTTTTTGGTTTTACTTTTAAATAAAGCATAGGTTGGACAGCTTTTTTAATTCGTTAGGGAGTGAGTTGCATAGACGCCTTTATTTGAGTGTTTACACAGATTTAGTGTGACTCTGGGGAGATCAAAGAGATATTTATTTCTGGTGTGGTGATTATGGATTCTATTACATCTGTCCAGGAAGAGTTTCAGATCAGGGTTTGCATTTAGGAACAAAGTTTTGTATATGTAAATGGTACAAGAGAATGTGTGAAGTGAGTTTATGTTTAGAATGTTTAGGGATTTAAACAGGGGGGCTGTGTGTTGTCTGGAAACAGTTTGTTATTGTTATGATAGCAGATTTTTTTCTGGGTGGTGATGGGCTTGAGGTAGTTTGTAGTGGTTGAACCTCATGTACAGATAGATATCGTATGTAAGATAGGGGATAGAATAGTGCGTAGTATAGTGAGAGGAGAGCAGAGTTTGGAACATAATATCTGATTTTAGAAAGTATACCAACCATTTTTGAGACTTTTTTTGGTTATGTGTTGTATGTGAGTGTTAAAGTTGAGTGTCTTGTCTATGTATAGGCCAAGGAACTTTCCATCATTTTTATTGCTGATGGGCAGATACATTAGGCAGATCATTGATGTATATAAGAAATAGGAGAGGTCCTCGGATGCTGCCCTGTGGTACTCCTACGGCTAATGGTAGAGTGGGGGAGGTTATATAATTGATGGCTACATATTGGTGTCTGTCACTAAGACAGGATTGAATATAGTTCAGGGCAAGGCCTCGGATTCCATAATGGAGAAGTTTAAGTAAGAGGTAGTTATGGTTTAGATAATAAAGCGTACTTTTGACTATAAGAAAATGAAGGTAATGCTTCAACTATAAATCTCTGGTGCGCCCCATTTGGATTACTGTATCATAGCATGGAGCCCTGATCTTCAGAAGAACATAGTTACTCTGGAGAAAGTGCAACACCGGGCAACAAAAGTCATTCCAGAGCTAAGACATCTCTCGTATCAGGAACGGTTGAAGGCCACAGGGCTAACAACACTACAAGCCAGGCATGACAGGGCGGATCTCATTGAAACTTTTAAAATACTGAACAAGTTAAGAGGATGTTGATCTGGACATTTTCTTCAGAAGGTCAGATGTAACACAAACAAGGAGCAACGGTTTCAAGCTCAACAAGTCACAATGTAGGACTGAGAACAGGACTTTACTTAGTGACTCTTGTTCGGGCGCTGGAAACCTGTAATGAGGCTTATATCAAGAACCCCATCACCCCTAGACCAAACTATTGACCTTTCCTAATATGCTAATCACAACAGTTGCCTAACTCCTAGGTGCATATTTACTGCTTAGGTTATGAGAAAAGGAGATGGAAAAAATGTCCGAAACGCTACTTCCCGAAACGTTATGCGTGTTAAATTAAATTAAATAAATTAAATAAATAAATTAAACTGCCAATCCGCCGAAGCCGTATATGCCGATTGAACTTTAAAATCAAATTGGAAACAATCAACAGGACAAATAGAGGAGATTAAACAAGCGACCTGTTTCCCCGTCCTTGTGGAGACCACTAGTGTGTTAGTGGCAGGTAAATTCAGGTAAATATGTCGAGAGTGAGATGTAGGACGTCACAGTTCATGACGTAGACGACTGCATCCGGGAATCCGGTGATAGTAGTGAACCCAGGATGGTTATGTTGATGCGTAGTGTTGTTGGTGGTTGGTGAGTGTTGTTGGTGGTTGGTGGTGGTTGGTGAGTGTTGTTGGTGGTGGTTGGTGAGTGTTGTTGGTGGTTGGTGAGTGTTGTTGGTGGTTGGTGAGTGTTGTTGGTGAGTGTTGGTGGTGGTTGGTGAGTGTTGTTGGTGGTTGGTGAGTGTTGTTGGTGGTTGGTGAGTTGTTGGTGGTTGGTGAGTGTTGGTGGTGGTTGGTGAGTGTTGGTGGTGGTTGGTGAGTGTTGTTGGTGGTTGGTGAGTGTTGTTGGTGGTTGGTGAGTGTTGTTGGTGGTTGGTGAGTGTTGTTGGTGGTTGGTGAGTTGTTGGTGGTTGGTGAGTGTTGGTGGTGGTTGGTGAGTGTTGGTGGTGGTTGGTGAGTGTTGTTGGTGGTTGGTGAGTGTTGTTGGTGGTTGGTGAGTGTTGTTGGTGGTTGGTGAGTTGTTGGTGGTTGGTGAGTGTTGTTGGTGAGTTGTTGGTGGTTGGTGAGTGTTGGTGGTGGTTGGTGAGTGTTGGTGGTGGTTGGTGAGTGTTGTTGGTGGTTGGTGAGTGTTGTTGGTGGTTGGTGAGTGTTGTTGGTGGTTGGTGAGTGTTGGTGGTGGTTGGTGAGTGTTGTTGGTGGTTGGTGAGTGTTGTTGGTGGTTGGTGAGTGTTGTTGGTGGTTGGTGAGTGTTGTTGGTGGTTGGTGAGTGTTGGTGGTGGTTGGTGAGTGTTGTTGGTGGTTGGTGAGTGTTGTTGATGGTTGGTGAGTGTTGTTGGTGGTTGGTGAGTGTTGTTGGTGGTTGGTGAGTGGTGGTGGTGGTGAGTGTTGTTGGTGGTTGGTGAGTGTTGTTGGTGGTTGGTGAGTGTTGTTGGTGGTTGGTGAGTGTTGTTGGTGGTTGGTGAGTGTTGCTGGTGGTTGGTGAGTGTTGTTGGTGGTTGGTGAGTGTTGTTGGTGGTTGGTGAGTGTTGTTGGTGAGTGTTGTTGGTGGTTGGTGGTGGTTGGTGAGTGTTGTTGGTGAGTGTTGCTGGTGGTTGGTGAGTGTTGTTGGTGGTTGGTGAGTGTTGCTGGTGGTTGGTGAGTGTTGTTGGTGGTTGGTGAGTGTTGGTGGTGGTTGGTGAGTGTTGTTGGTGGTTGGTGAGTGTTGCTGGTGGTTGGTGAGTGTTGTTCGTGGTTGGTGAGTGTTGTTGGTGGTTGGTGAGTGTTGTTGGTGGTTGGTGAGTGTTGTTGGTGGTTGGTGGGTGTTGGTGGTGAGTGTTGCTGGTGGTTGGTGAGTGTTGGTGGTGGTTGGTGAGTGTTGGTGGTGGTTGGTGAGTGTTGTTGGTGGTTGGTGAGTGTTGTTGGTGAGTGTTGTTGGTGGTTGGTGGTGAGTGTTGCTGGTGGTTGGTGAGTGTTGGTGGTGGTTGGTGAGTGTTGCTGGTGGTTGGTGAGTGTTGTTGGTGGTTGGTGAGTGTTGCTGGTGGTTGGTGAGTGTTGTTGGTGGTTGGTGAGTGTTGTTGGTGGTTGGTGAGTGTTGTTGGTGGTTGGTGAGTGTTGCTGGTGGTTGGTGAGTGTTGTTGGTGGTTGGTGAGTGTTGGTGGTGGTTGGTGAGTGTTGCTGGTGGTTGTTGGTGGTTGGTGAGTGTTGGTGGTGGTTGGTGGGTGTTGGTGGTGGTTGGTGAGTTGGTTGTTGTTGGTGAGTGTTGTTGTTGGTGGTTGGTGAGTGTTGTGGGTGGTTGGTGAGTGTTGTTGGTGGTTGGTGAGTGTTGGTGGTGGTTGGTGAGTGTTGGTGGTGGTTGGTGAGTGTTGGTGGTGGTTGGTGAGTGTTGTTGGTGGTTGGTGAGTGTTGTTGGTGGTTGGTGAGTGTTGGTGGTGGTTGGTGAGTGTTGGTGGTGGTTGGTGAGTGTTGGTGGTGGTTGGTGAGTGTTGTTGGTGGTTGGTGAGTGTTGTTGGTGAGTGTTGACGGTGGTTGGTGAGTGTTGTTGGTGGTTGGTGAGTGTTGTTGGTGGTTGGTGAGTGTTGGTGGTGGTTGGTGAGTGTTGGTGGTGGTTGGTGAGTGTTGTTGGTGGTTGGTGAGTGTTGTTGGTGGTTGGTGAGTGTTGGTGGTAGTTGGTGAGTGTTGTTGGTGGTTGGTGAGTGTTGCTGGTGGTTGGTGAGTGTTGTTGGTTGTTGTTGGTGGTTGGTGAGTGTTGTTGTTGGTGGTTGGTGAGTGTTGTTGGTGGTTGGTGAGTGTTGTTGGTGGTTGGTGAGTGTGGTTGGTGGTGGTTGGTGAGTGTTGTTGGTTGTTGTTGGTGGTTGGTGAGTGTTGCTGGTGGTTGGTGAGTGTTGTTGGTTGTTGTTGGTGGTTGGTGAGTGTTGTTGTTGGTGGTTGGTGAGTGTTGTTGTTGGTGGTTGGTGAGTGTTGGTGGTGGTTTGTGAGTGTTGTTGGTGGTTGGTGAGTGTTGTTGATGGTTGGTGAGTGTTGTTGGTGGTTGATGAGTGTTGTTGTTGGTGGTTGGTGAGTGTTGTTGGTGAGTGTTGGTGGTGGTTGGTGAGTGTTGTTGGTGGTTGGAGAGTGTTGTTGGTGGTTGGTGAGTGTTGTTGGTGGTTGGTGAGTGTTGGTGGTGGTTGGTGAGTGTTGTTGGTGGTTGGCGAGTGTTGTTGGTGGTTGGTGAGTGTTGGTGGTGGTTGGTGAGTGTTGTTGGTGGTTGGCGAGTGTTGTTGGTGGTTGGTGAGTTGTTGGTGGTTGGTGAGTGTTGGTGGTGGTTGGTGAGTGTTGTTGGTGGTTGGCGAGTGTTGCCGGTGGTTGGTGAGTGTTGTTGGTGGTTGGTGAGTGTTGCCGGTGGTTGGTGAGCGTTGTTGGTGGTTGGCGAGTGTTGCCGGTGGTTGGTGAGTGTTGGTGGTGGTTGGTGAGTGTTGGTGGTGGTTGGTGAGTGTTGTTGGTGGTTGGCGAGTGTTGCCGGTGGTTGGTGAGTGTTGTTGGTGGTTGGTGAGTGTTGCTGGTGGTTGGTGAGTGTTGGTGGTGGTTGGTGAGTGTTGTTGGTGGTTGGCGAGTGTTGCCGGTGGTTGGTGAGTGTTGTTGGTGGTTGGTGAGTGTTGCCGGTGGTTGGTGAGCGTTGTTGGTGGTTGGCGAGTGTTGCCGGTGGTTGGTGAGTGTTGTTGGTGGTTGGTGAGTGTTGGTGGTGGTTGGTGAGTGTTGTTGGTGGTTGGCGAGTGTTGCCGGTGGTTGGTGAGTGTTGTTGGTGGTTGGTGAGTGTTGCTGGTGGTTGGTGAGTGTGGTTGGTGACTGGTGAGTGTTTTTTTGGTCAATGCTGAGGTGCTGCTGGCTAATAAGTATTTCTAGTGACTCATCTAGAGTCTAGGAGTAAAATATGGGTGATCATAGATTGACAATTTTCTGTGAGTCAGTGGGAAAGTCTTCTCACAGAGACTGTATGTTTCAGCCCTTCTGCTTCACATGCCCACCCATCTTCTCTTAATTGACCTCTCTTAATAATCTTGTTCCACTGTCACCCCCCCCCCCTTCCCATTTTCTCTGGGATCTTGACACTTCAAGATGGATCAGGTTATATTAGCATTCTTCACCAAGGATGTATTCCCTCTTCTTTATTTGTCGTACCTGTCATGGGTGGCTAGTGGGGAATGTAAATGGATATTTGTATAAAACTATCACAAATCAGAATCACCTCAAATTGTCCATTAAATTGTGGAAAAGGTTTTCAGTGTAAGACAAACTGGAACAGCAGCCTAACTTGGTAAGAATGCTAGGCCTGGCCCCCACCAAAGAAATTCTAAAAGTTTAGTGTCTGGAGAATGACTACACTCTCGCCAAGAGCAAGATAGACGCAGAATACATATTGGTAACAATCTATTTGTTAACAAAACCTCACTCACACACTCATAACAAATGATGTTTCCTCTTGACATTTACTTTAAGATCCAATTTGATAGAAGGAAGAATTTACACCCACAATATACTAGGCAAGAATTAACATTGGTTTAAGAAATTAATAACCAAACACATTAACACATGTCCACCAGTACATCATCCTCTTATAGGTAACTCTCTGTGATTATACACTGTGAGTGAGCTGTAAGTTGCATTTATAATTTGTAAGATATCAATAGGAACACAGTGGCAGATACACAATAGCATTATTTTCCCTCAAGACATTTCCTAAGGGAAAATAGTGCTGGCAAAACTGATGCAATCTTTCCTCACAGACCACCTTGACCAAATTGAATATACTTGCTTCTCCAGGCAGCATTCTGTAAAGAGCTCCTACCATAACCATTCACATTCTTTAATGTGAATGTGAATTTACTCCATTCATCATACTCCTTCATTTACTCCAGTCCTGACCCTCTTGCTCTAAATGCCACAGTAAATACTGAGCTAAATAAAGTCCATCTTTGGCTAACTGCCAACAAACTCACCCTTAACATTGACAAAACTTTCTATATTCTGTTTGGCAATAAATCCTCTAATCAAATAAATCTCAAAATAAACAATACCCAAATTTGTAACAAATTAGATGGCAAATTCCTTGGCATTCTCATTGACCACAAGCTGAATTTCCAGGGACACATTCTAAATATATCAAAAAAAGTTTCAAAAACTGTGGGCATTCTTTCTAAGATCAGATTTTATGTACCACGCCCTGCCCTGGTGACTCTCTATTACTCCCTTATCTATCCTTATCTCAACTATGGTATTTCTGCTTGGGGTTCTACTACCCAAAATCACTTACGTCCTCTAATTACCCAACACAAAGCTGCTATTAGAACAATATCCAACTCTGGCCCCAGACATCACTCGGTACCCCTACTCAAATCTCTGAATATGTTAGATATTAAGTCACTGCACATTCTCTCATGTGTATTATACATATATAAAATGCTAAACTATAATGCCAATCCTGATCTTAAAAGCTTCATAGAAGGTTGTAACAGAACCCATGAGCACCACACCAGAAATAAATACAGTTTTGATATTCCTAGAGTACGTCTTAATCAAACTAGAAATGCTCTGCAAATCAAGGGGCCCAGAATGTGGAATGACCTTCCCAACCATGTTAAAGACTGTACCTCTCTCAACCAGTTTAAGATAAAAACTAAACACTACCTAATAAATTCCTTGTAATCTACCTCACTCCTCTATTGTCAACCCATGTCTGTTATTTTTTTTTTTTTTTTTTTTTTTTTTTTTTTTAATCAACACTGTTTGTCAACCTATTGTATTTGTGCTGCTTTTTCAGTCATGTTCCCCCTTTTTTTATCTTTATTTGTATTTGTTCTCAACACTTTTTATTCTTTATGCTCAATTAGTATTAAGTTCTAGATATTAATGTTTTTCTTGCCCGAAACGCATTGCGTAATAGTGGCTTTAGGCATTGTATGTACTAGCTCTATCTATATATCAATCCATTAATGTAACATCACTTGTATGTATATACCTTACCTGAATAAACATCTGAATCTGAATCTGAATCTGATGTGTTCGGCCCAAACACTTAACAAAACAATCTATAAAAAACTATCCCACTGACAGCTTATTATTTAGTCAACCACTAAGTTCAAATTCATAAATACTGTAGAGCCAGTAGTTTACACATTACTACTGTGCTTGATCATATTGCCGGCAGCACTGTAACTCAACAGTAGCAGAAACTGACCAGCAACAAACTCAACTGACAACTCTCTACTAATTTTTATAAACTCTTGTTTCTTCTAAATAGATATCCTTGGTCAAAACAGTACCACCACTGAGTCCCTTCTGCCCCTCTTAATTCATATCACTTTTCTTCATCCTTTTGGTCCATCTCTTTATTATCATTGTATGATACCTTCGCTAAGACATTTTCTCTGGCTATATTGAACTTGTCAGATTTTATAATGTTTCTTCTTGGTAGTTCATATTTAATCCTGCTCATTTCCATATTCCTCTCACTTTTACTAGTGGCCCCTTACCTTTAGTTGCCTTATTACAATCCCTTGGGGTCAATTAATTTTTGCAAGCTTCCAAACAGGTATTTGTTACAGTTGTTAGTTCTGAATATTAAAAAAGTTAACCATTTCATATTCATCCTTTGATTATTGGTTACCCTTATTTAGCATTCATTTATGGTTAGCTATGGCAAATTTTACTTTGCTTTTTTTAATTTGTAGTAAATGTTTTTGTTATTTGATATTTGTATAATTTTAATAATTTTATTTCATTCCCTTTGCTATCACATCAAGCCAAGAAATACCATAATGCACTCATATTATCCTTCATTTTAATCAATTTAAATTTCTTCACCAGAGCTGTGGGAGACATGAGGCATCATCACCATGATACACCTGGTTGTGGTTTTGTCTGCTGCAGTTTTTGCACCATCTGACGCTACGCATGCGGTGCACTTCACCACACACTCCTCACCAATACTGTCAGCTATAGCCTTGCCCTTTACCCAGTCATCCATGCCCAGTGTCAAACCCACAGCTGCCTCTGCCACACAAACTACAACTGCCTTCACTCCAACTACATTTTTGATTGCCATTATTCGCTCTCCTGACATAACTTGTCTGCGGTCTAAGGACCTCATATCACTTCTGTGGTCATTACAACAAACAAACAAAAACAACATAACACTACCCTATACAAATCTGTTGGAACAGGTTTGGAGCGCACACTTGTGGAAGTGCATACATTTAAATTTAATGAAACAATCATTATCAAAACAAACTAAGTATAACAAAGAGTTAATGCAAGTCCACTTAAAGCAGATCAAGCATCTGTCGTGGCTGCAGAGAATTAGTGAACAAAATGAAGCACAAATGTCTGAAGAAACCAAATGGCAAATGTCACTTACAAAGACACCAAAGTATAACAGTAAACTAATACAATGGATTCGTATGTCAACAGAATACACACACACACCACAAGGGCTAAAAGTAAATGGCAAAAATGATGAGAAGATAAAGTATCTGGCTAACTATCATCGAATGTCACAAATACAAGAACCTTCAGTCAATAATAGTTTTGTGCCACAAACACAAAGAAATGAAAATCAATCACTAACCCTCATACAAAGACAAGGGAAACAGTCGTCCATCAAATTTAACCAACAGATATCACAGGCACAAACACCAATAAAAAACAAACATGGAGTACAGAAATACATGTACTCGCAGAAAAACAAACAGAAATCACAGAGACCTTTAGATAAAGACAAGAACATGCCACAAACTTCCACATATATGACCAAGCAGCTCCCAAAGACGAAAATACATATTGGCTTTAGTGCATACATGAATCGACTCAGGTCACCTGTTGACAAACGCACACCAGTCTTACAGATGCCTGTGCAGAAGAACAAGAGGCAGCAAGTGCTGAAGAGAGACTCAAGTCAGTTGCTTTACGATGGTGAATATTATTATGAACTACTACTTTCATAATACATGTTTTTACAGTGAGTTTCTTCTAAATAAGTACTTGGAAATACTATATCTATTAAATATGTTTTACTGTAATGGTTTGACCTACAACAAGTAGTGTAATTATACTGTACTTGTATAGAAAAGGTAACAAAAAGGAGGCCTGGTCGAGGACCGGGCCTCGGGGACGCTAAACGCCGAAATCATCTCAAGATAACCTCAAGATAGACATTAGCATAATAAAAGAGCACAGTTAAATCATGAACATGTTGATGGTATAAAGCAATTGTCTCGCTCGACCTGTTCTTTAAGGGAAAGACGAGAAGTGTATAGATTGATGACCTGGTTTGGCTCAGGAATGTCCTCAGCGTTGGTTAGTCATAAATTAAAAAAATTGTTTAACTTTCCTTATTTTGGCTTGGTTGGTGGACTGGTTTTATTAATATTATTATTATTTGTTAATTGTCACAGATAGTCAACAAATGAAAACTCAGTACTCGCCTCCATCACATTCAAGTATGGGTCAAGAGGCCTCCAGTCTATTCAGCAAAACATTAATCAAGACTCAACCACAAGTGTCAGGGTTAAAAGACTCTCTTCAATTGCCTCTGTTTCACATGGCTTTGGTAAGTGTGACTCAATTGACTTAAGAAGTGCAGTATAAAGAACACTCTGTTGGATAGTTTTGCTCAGACTCCTATATAAATTATCTATACAGTGGAACCTCGGTTTTTGTATGTCCCTGTTTTTGTATTTTTTGGTTCTCGAACTCAATTTCTTTGAAAAATTTGATTCGGTACTCGTTGTTTGCCTCGATTTTCGGAGTTTGTTTATACAGCTGAGTGGACAGCGCTTCGGACTCATAGTCCTGAGGTTCCGGGTTCGATTCCTGGTGGAGGCGGAAACAAATGGGCAGAGTTTCTTTCACCCTGATGCTCCTGTTACCTAGCAGTAAATAGGGACCTGGGAGTTAGTCAGCTGCTTCCTGGGGGAGTATAACAAAAAGGAGGCCTGGTCGAGGACCGGGACACTAGGACGCTAAGCCCCGAAATCATCTCAAGATAACCTCAAGATACACGTACGGGTCCACCGAGCGCGTGGCGCTTCAGCTTACAGTGTCTTCCGCCTAGTGATGATCGGGCTTGAATTTTTTGTGAAGAATTTCATTGTTTTTGTGCTTTTTTTGATTTCTGAACATAAGTTCTTATTACTGTACAGTATATATCATGCCATGGGTTCCAAGAAAGTCAGTGGTAATGTTCAACCTAAGAAAATAGTTGTGAGGATGGTGATAGAGGAAAAACAAGTGATCATTCGTAGTGAATGAATGTGATGTCTCACTACAGACACGTGGTAAAACATAAGAAAAAACAAGTGTCTTAAGACAGATTCTTAGTAAGACAAGCAAGCAGTGAGCCACAACCAGGTCTCAGTGGTATGCCTGCAAAATGTAGGAGAGAGAGCACCCCAGAAATGTCATCACTGCCTGATGTTATAATGGAAGGGGACTCCCCTTTCAAACACTAACACCTCTCCTCCTCACTGTCTTCCATATGCCAACAAGAGTCCTCAATAAAGGTAAGATATACATACTGTACTGTAGAACAAAATATGAGTGGTATTTGGTTTAAAATGTATTTTTAAGTTAATATTTTTTAGTGTGGGGAACGGATTAATTCAATTTACATTATTTCTTGAGGGAAAATTAATTTTGGTTTATGATTTTTTGGTGTACAACGCGTCTCTGGGAACGGATTAGAATCGTAAATGAAGGTACCATTCACCATGCAAGGATAAATGTAAAGCAGCAGCAACCTATTATTAACATGGATCACAGGCATGCCGCTAACTCCAATACTGTTAACCATGTCAGTAGGGCAAGTATCGCCTTTGGTGATACTAAACACATCTTGAAAAAAAAATTTAATGTTCATCAGAGCAATAATGTTGCCTTTGATATAGATCATAATATGCACAACACTAGTAACAGTGATCCTATAAGCAACTGTTATGTGCTTTCAGTGTTTAACAGTAGTATTTATATCCCCATTAATGATGTAGAAAAAGCAAATGTTAGAAGTACAAGATTACTTGATGGTATATGTGCTAAAAGCTTCAACAAAGCTTGCATTTTTAGACTCAGAATTTGTATTGGATCCATGAAAGATTATGCACTCACAAGCACTACTGCAGCAAAAGTCAGTGATAGGACTATAGAGAGAGACAGCAGAACTAGTAGCAGCAGCAGCATCGGTCTTCGCCATATTAGGAGCAGCTACCCCAGTAGCACCTTTGGCATTAGCAATAGTAGTAACGTTTTTAACAGCAACAAGGCTGCAACCAGCAGAAATACTGAAAAAATAAGTAGCAGTACTTTGGTGCAAAGTAAAAGTAGTACAAATATTTTTGACATTGATAGGAAGCAAAAGAATAAGAGAAGAATTGGTAAATGTGGACGGGTGCGTCGAGGTCATGGATATAGACGTCTTGATCATAGGCGAAAGAATCAAGGTCAAGAACAAAGACAGGAGCAACTTGACAGGGATCTGTCACTGTGGATAGACAGAAAACAAGTTAAGATATTTAGTGGTAAGTCTCTAGAGTATTTATTTAGTTTTATATGGATCTAACCTTTTTGAAATATGGTGTCCATGCAAAAGATTTGTCATTTACAGTACAGTATAATAGGTATGAGCATGAGAAAATTGATGCATGTCACATGACAGTGAGGATAAACTGTATAAGACAGGAGACTAAGAAGATAAAATTACTAACTTGCAAAATCAGCATGTGCAAAATACCTAAACAGTATAGTAGTGTTAATAGTTTTTCTTTTGCTGCAGTAAGGATAAGTGGGGTTGGATTTTTTCATAGAGCAGTACTATACTAACTTTTGGATGATTGATTTACCAGTGAGGCTGTCATTAAGTTCGGTACCCCTGGTGTACTTTATAACATGAAAGCAACTACACTATAACTCGCATACTGTTTATCGGTATTTTTTAATATACAGTAGTCTTCTCTGAATTCAATGCATTTGTTGTTGAGTGTCCTTGTTCAAACTCACTATGGCAGCTTTATAGAAGTGTTCTGGCTGTTCATGAGACCACCCCTCAGTAGCAGCCTTGAGCTCATCATTATGCTGGAAGTAGCTCCCTCGGAGGTGAGACGTCAGATGTATAAACACATAATTACCTACATCACTGTACTCTATTAAGACTAAATCTAAGTAGAACATGAAATTGTCAGCTCTCTTGAAACCACACAATTTATTGACTGACATATTGTCATGAAGCATTCTCTGTTGTTTGTCTGTGATGATGTCAAGCATTTTATGCATTTGGCTAGCATAGTAATCACTGGTAATCATTGTTTTTTGGGAGGAGCTCTTTGTGGCTCTCTGAAGCTACTATCACTGATAGTATACCATCTGTCAGGTTACATCAGCCACGGAATTCTGTTGGCCTGCCGGGCATCAGCACCAGAACCTGGCCCCCCCACACAGAGGTGCAGGGAGCGGTGGCATTTAGGGCATTTATTTATTTTTCCACCATCGGGGAAGCTGTCAGAAAGTCAGCAAAAAAAACAAACCACTGCTGGCCTCAATAGAAACTGCAGTCTCAAGAACCACCACAAGAACTCTTCCCAACAATGTAAACTAATGATTGAAATCTCTTCAAACTAGTGTCAGCTTATTCACCCCACCTCCCTCACTTGTTTGAGGGGAGGATGGAGACAGCCTATGGTCAGCTGGCTACTCCACCCTCAGTTCTCAAGTAGATGTAACCAAACCCCTCAACAACCTGGAGAGAGGGTGTTGGGGAACTACTGGGGCGCATCCAGAAATTGGCACTTCATTACATTCAATGCTGGTTTTCTATGGGGAGCTCCCTGTGGCTTCCTGAAGCTAACTACCCTCTGAGAAGGAAAACAAATGGGAGTCTACTTGAGATGGAGGAGCTCCACAGGAAACAAGACAAAGAAAACACACCCAGACGAGACACATGACTCAAAGCCACACAAGGGCGCTGGTGCCCAGGCACATGAATAAGATACAGGGCTGTATGAACCCTGTATGATCCCCAAAACCTCCACATTCGAGTGAATAGGTTATTTATATAGACAGGGAACATTACTGGCACTAGTAATGAAATTTGAGGCTACACAAATGACATTCCTTCAGTCTATTTCATTGCTCTTTTCACTGCTCTCATCCATCTATTGGTTTCAGGAACTGTTTTCATCCAAACATTCTGTTGTGTGGGATTTTATGAAAAACTTTTTAAAGTCCAAATATATGCAATCTGCCCAGCCATCTCTTTCCTGAAAATTCTCAATGGCCCTGTCATAAAAATTAAGTAAATTTAAAAGCATTGCCTTTCATTTCAAAAGTAAACTGCCTATTATTATGTTTGCTCTTTTGAAGTATTCCATTCATTTAGTTTTGTTACTTTTCCTGGTGATTTTGCTACCACACGAGTCAGTTATACTGGTTTTGCTTTCATGGCTCTTCTCAGTCACCTTTTTACAGATTGGCACCGTTTCTCCTTTTCCAAATGTCAGCAAGGTTTCCTCTATGCTAAGATACCTGAAAATAATTTGTAGTGGGTTGCTAAGTTTGAGTACATTTCCTCAGGATCCATGATGAAATTTAATCTGGCCTACTGATTTGTTTCTGCCTAAATCCTAATGGAATTTTTGTATATTATCTCTACACTCTTCTAGGTGCTCTATGTTATTCTCTTAAAGTGTGTAGTGTGTCTAGTGGCGCAAAAACCCTTAATTCATACAAACGCATTTTGAAACTATTAATTTAAAGTTTGCACATTTCATTCTTTCTTTGCACATATTCACCATGAAAGTGTTTCCAGATTTCAGTCTTTGGATATAATCCTATATCCAGTACTGTAAATGCAATTTAGTTTTAATAAATTATAAATTTATGGGAGAGGCTGTGTGCTGTCTTACAATGTCTTCCATACTTTAAGTTTCATGTCTTCTCCCTTTTCATTACTGTATAGTGTTTTGGGTTTGTTTGCATTTTATATGTTTGTGTACTTGTATGTTTAGTAGTCTTGTCTTACGTGTGTTTTTTGTCATGTGTAAAACACTGTGATACCTCTTCCTTATATATGTAATCTGACAAGAGTGTGTAACAACAGGTTACATGATGGAGATATATGCCATCCACAATGGCCGGGTTCTGCCTTACATCCTTGACCCTAACTTTGAGAAGCAGCTTCCAGTCATCCCATTTGAGGTAGGTTAATTAAGAGCTGGCCTCCTGCTTTGTGGTGTCTTCAACACTTAATTGTTTCTTCATGTCTCATCTCACCCACAGTATTTTTGTTTTATATATTTTTCCTTCCATATCATTTTGTTAACTTCTCTTCTAATTTGTAAGCATGATTTTATGTCTTGTTTTAATGCTTTTGTTTTCCTGTTTTGTCTCCCTGCTGGCCTAACTTTTTCCAGCTTCGTCTTGTGCTTGACAAGGTACGGGCTCCAATGCAGGGGCCGCATACTCCAGGATTGCTCTTACATTTGTGGTATACAAGGTTCTGAATGATTCCTTACACAGGTTCCTGAAGGCAGTTCTGATGTTAGCCAGTCTCGCATAAGCCGCAGATGTTATTCTTTGTATGTGGGGCTTCAGGAGACTGGTTTGGCATGATATCAACTCCTAGATCTTTGTCTCTGTCCGTTTTATGAAGTACTTCATCTCCCATTCTGTATCCTGTGTCTGGCCTCCTGTTTCTTCCGTTATTCGAAATGCTCGTAACTGGAGCCGCTCGCCACTCGAGGTTCCACTGTATATATATTAGTTGACAAAAAGAAACGAGAAACCAGTACAGTATAATGTAAGAATTAATAACAAAGTGTAAATATTTAAAACAAAATTCTTCAAGCTACGTTTTGAACATGACAGTATACTTTCGGAAAAGTTATTGAAAGATTGTGTTTTACTCTTCATATAATTGTTCTTCATATAGTTCTTAATTTTGATTTTGGTTCACAGTGTACAGCATACTCAGAGGCACTTGTATCAGTTATTGAGAAAAACTAGGGGAGGTGAGGGCCGGCATCTCTTCCACACGATGCATCCTTGCCTCAGCAACTGCACCTCACATCCCTCCATTTGGCTTCAGGTGGAAAATGTGAACTTCACATGGCGTGCTGGCAGCAAGAGGTACTACTATACCTTTGATCGCCTTTACTCTCAGGATGAGGAGGTGCTGGAGGTGCCAGTCTTGTCTCTGCCAACCCATGGCACAGTTCCCAGAAAGTCTAAAGGTAAAAATAAAGCCTTTTGTAATTCTTGCATGTTACAGTTCCAGCCTATAGGCACCAGATGTGTTAACTATTACAATTTTTCAATGACTAGTAAAAATATAAACAGGAAAACTTACTTTTTACTGCACATGTGAAGGGAAATTCTGTTGGGTATCTTGGAGAATTATTAAATAATTGTTGTGTTTAGTCATTACAAACAAGATTTGTGTGCACGTCTATATGCATGGACATGTTTGTATGTTTACCCATAAATATGTTCATATGTGTATGTGCATATATCAATATAATGATGATAATAATAATAATGAGAAAATCCACTGGACCTGTGAGGTGACGCGAACCCGCGACCATCTTTTTTTTTCCACAGACGTGGCCACACATTTACAATGCTAACCAGCATATATACATTTTCTTCTGTCCTCCATGGACAAGGTTAGAGATCTGTTAAACATATAGTACAGTGTTTTGTTGAACAATCAAACACAGAAGGTGATTGCAGTGCTTATAAAATTCTAATCTAACCTACATACAGAAATACATAAATACACACCAAGGCATTGCCAGCCGCATACTCTACCACTGTACCATTTCTGACCTATTAAAGTCATACAACCAGAACAAATCCACAAGGGCTGTGATGAGGATTCGAACCTGCGTCCGGGAGCATCCCAGACACTGCCTTAATCGACTGAACTACGACAGGGTTAAAAAGGGTTGAAACCGGTTTTCAACCGGTTTAAAAAAAAAGGTTTTTAAAAAAGTTTTTTTAACCCTGTCGTAGCTCAGTCGATTAAGGCAGTGTCTGGGATGCTCCCGGACGCAGGTTCGAATCCTCGTTACGGCCCTTGTGGATTTGTTCATTTGATGCATCACGTTATTGTGATCTCTGTGTGTCATACAACCAGATTTCTACTGAAATCACAGGAAGGCTGGAGGCCCCTCCTGAACCCAGTTCAAGTTTTACGTATGACCAACAAGCACTCGGGTGAAGAGCATATGTAAAACTTTTGCCTTTTGCCCAATTGCTTCGGGGTCATACGTAAAACATGGGCTGGCTTCAGGAGGCCTCTAGACTTCCTGTGATTTCAGGAGAAATCCAGTTGTATGACTTTTAACAAGTCCTGGTGATACAGTGGTAGAGCATGTGGCTGGCAATGCCTTGGTCGTGGGTTCACTCGCCTCACAGCCCCAGTAGATTTTCTCATTGATGTATATCACGTTAGTGTGATTTTCTGTGTGTATAATAATTATAATAATAATAATAATAATAATAATAATAATAATAAAGGTGAAGGAAAGAAGATGAGTCACAATAATGTGGCTAAAGATATGATGACCAAACTACACATCAGAAGACGGAGAAACAACGATGAAGAAATTTCACTAATACCTTTCGTCCTCTTGATGTAAAGTTCGCCTTTTAACACTTTCGCTCACCCCGCGCGCCACCCCTCAACTGTGCGATATGGGACCCAGGGTGTCACGGGAGCGCGCGTAAATTCTGAAAAGTGTATACTCTCTTTAACTTTGTCACCTTAATTCTCGTCCTACGAGATTAAATTTTGTATCATTGTGTTCGCAATAGATTTCTCTACAGCACTAAATGCATATAAACTCCAAAAGCCCGGCTAATTACCCGCAGCAAACAGAGAAAGTGTGAACGAGTTACCCAGGAGCCCGCAAACGCGATAAAATGTTTTCACTATTTTCACTCTGGTCACCTCACTTTTCGTCCTAGGTCTTTCATTTTGGTCTCAATGGGTTCGCAATAGAATTCTCTAGAGGAACATTAGCATATAAAATAAAAAACCTGGTCACGCTCCAACCGCCAACGAGTTGGCGCGTTAGCCGCGAGTGAGCGCTCAGACGCCTTCCAGCTAGACTCCCAATTCCCGCCCTTTTCAAGCGTTTTTTTCGCAATTTTATTCCTAGAAGGGCCTTGTTCATGATCACTATCCATCGTGGAGTAAGCGTGGATAGTTTCTAAAGCCGCAGTAAGAAATATAGCCACGGAAAATAGCCGAAATGTTCACACGTTTGAGATGCGAGGGGAGGCGACATTGGTCACAACAGTGGAGCTAAAACAATGGGCCTACGGAGTGTGCCAAGCCGCCTGAGGGCCACGAGGCTCAACAAAGAAAATGGGAAGACATCGGCGCACATTTTAAAACCAGTCCCAAAAAAATCTGATAAAAACCTGAGTTTTGGCAATTATTTGAATTGGATGACGCAATGCTGTGTCATCCCCGGTATTACCGACAGTAAACGGATGACGCAATGCTGCGTCATGCCCGGGCGAAAGTGTTAACAAACTAACACTCTGCAATCTGGTTCACACTGCTCCCCCTGCTTCTAATGCTGCTGGTGTCGTCTGTATTTCCTGTTCGTCTTGTCTCTCCAAAACATTGGTATAACTGGCCATACACTAAATGACAGACTTAACTTTTAAACTGTGCAACACTGCATATGAAGTTTTGAGTAACTGACGCAAAAGTGCACAGCACTGCATATGAAGTTTTGGAGTGCTACACAAGATTTAAATGGCCCGCGGATACAAGGGGTTCGCATCACCTTCCTCAGGACTCTTATAAACAGGCACCATTTTTTTTTTTAAATCATGGGCAACATTCCTAGGTGTGAGGGCCTCAGTACTGAGTGAGCCACCAAGGCTGGCGCACTCAGCATGAGCTCACAGCACTGCTGTTCAGCTTGTGACCACAGCATCGCCTAAAAATGTCAAAATATATATGTAACTGCTATTATTTAGCGATGATAGTATTGCAGAAGACCCCAGACTGTGATAAAAATGACCAGAATTCTGATAATAGCAGGATTGTGGTGATAATTTGCACTGTGCATAGTATGGTGGGAGGAGTAATCTTGGTGAGGGAGGGAGGTAGCGTCGTCTGCTATGTGTGGTGACCTCTGTTATTGTCTGGGCTCATCTTACCAGCTTAGTGGTTCGTTATGGTGAACACAAATGTAGATACTGTACTTATATATAACGTGTGTGTACAGTATATAGCGTAATAACAGTAAAAGGAGTATGTTGGAAGGAGCCATTTTGGTGAGGGAGATGGTGTCATCTTCTGGCTGGTGTGTGACTTCACATGCTGTGTAGGATTGCCACTATGCTTTCTTAAGCTACTAAGGGGTCCTGAGGAGATTTAAACCCCTGTGCGCAAGAAAAAAAAATTCTAACAAATTATTTCGTCTTCTAAAAATGTTAGTGTTCCCTGAGCACGGGAAAAAAAAAATTGTAGGTGACATATTTTGGCTGCAACAGGCCGAGGAAGTGGCAAAATGTGGGCGTTGACAGAGCTGTCGTCAGAGGCGGTCAGCGTCACCTGAGCTGACAGGTGGGAGTTGCCACAAAGATATTATTACCTAATTATTTCAATGTCTCTTATTTATTTTTTCTTAGTTTTTTGCAGTACAGTAATGTTATTCAATAGTGTGTAGTGTGATAGATTTATATAATAAAAGGGGTGAATCATCGCTATACTCAAAAGTATGGTGTTCATATTAGTGGTTCAATTATTATGTTCATAAAACAATAAGCAAATAGTTTTACTGTTATTACACTCTATACACAGGTTATTTCTCCTTCACTGTGATCTAATTGAGTCCAGCTAGGTCCCACTATACACTGTATTTGTACTACTATACCTATTTAATATGGTATATTTTTTCTTGTTTCTGTAGACAGAGGTGAAGGAATGGGTTTTTATGAATGGGTTCTAAAAAAATGTCCATTCTTCATTTGAATGAAATGTTTACAAACTTTGCAGTGTTCTCTGTGAAAATCAAGTGTACTGGAAATGCTTCTGGTATTGCCACCTTTGGTATCGGTCTTCTTATCCAGACACGGCTTGGCAAGCCACTACCAGGAACTCCCCTTAGACTCAAGTTACGCAAGGATTGTACTCAGCTTGGTGAGTTGACTGCGTTTTTATAGTGTTTGATAGTATAGGTTGTAGTAGCTTATTACTTAGTTCACTAATAATACCCTCCAGAGATGGAGAAATACTAAAGACATTGTTCACAACTTTTGTTAGGCCAAAGCTAGAATATGCAGCGGTTGTGTGGTGCCCATATCTTAAGAAGCACATCAACAAACTGGAAAAGATGCAAAGACATGTCACTAAGTGGCTCCCAGAACTGAAGGGCAAGAGCTAGCAGGAGAGGTTAGAGGTATTAAATATGCCAAAACTAGAAGACAGAAGAAAAAGAGGTGATATGATCACTACGTACAAATTAGTAACAGGAATTGATAAAATCGATAGGGAAGATTTCCTGAAACCTGGAACTTCAAGAACAAGAGGTCATAGATTTAAACTAGCTAAACACAGATGCCGAAGAAATATAAGAAAATTCACTTTCGCAAACAGAGTGGTAGACGGTTGGAACAAATTAAGTGAGAAGGTGGTGGAGCCTAAAACCATCAGTAGTTTCAAAGCGTTATATGACAATGAGTGCTGGGTAGACGGGACACCACGAGCGTAGCTCTCATCCTGTAACTACACTTAGGTATGTTGACCAGACCACACACTTGAAGGTGAAGGAACGACGACGTTTCAGTCCGTCCTGGACCATTCTCAAGTCGTTTGTCAACTTGAGAATGGTCCAGAACGGACCAAAACGTCGTCGTCCCTTCACCTTCTAGTGTGTGGTCTGGTCAACATACTGTAGCCACGTTATTGTGACTCGTCGCCTGCATACACTTAGGTAATTACATACATTTATATTTCTCCTGCTTTGATAGGGTAAGATAGCTGTGTATGTAAGATAGAAACTAGTGTGTTGTTAAGCACTTAACCACTGAAGGTGATTAAGATGCTTTTACAAGCTCAGGGGGACCTGAGCTTTTACACGCTCAGGGGACTATGTATAAAAATTCTTTATGCAATAAGCTTGTAAAAGCCTTTTTCTGAATACTGTTAAGTTATTCTGCAGCTGCTAGAGATATACTGATATACTGTCCATTAACCAGATCAAGCAACAGCGGGTAAGATAAACATACAGTACCATTGCTACTGGGCCTAAAGTGCCTTAGCAAGACTGCATTGGGTGTGCTTTGGAGACACTGGAATGATTAATTCAGCCAAGTAAATGGGTATTTGAAGGATTTCATATAAAATTATAAAGTATAAAGAGCTTACCATTGATAGGCATTTGTGTGATATCTATGGATCTGTTATTTTGGGTTTAGAAACACGTTTATTATTGTCTAATAACTTCCAAACATCTTGTGTAGAGATACTTTTGGCCCTGTGGCATTGGTACGAAGACCGTTGGTATTTGGACAATGATTTAATGTTTGTTGTTTTGACTCCATACTTCAGGACATGGATTTGAAATGAAACAATGCCTATGATGTTAAAATGTAAACTTTCAGCTTTAATTTGAGGATATTTACATCTTTGTCAGGTAAACAGTGTATGAATTACAATCTTTTTAGAAACTGCCCCAGCAGATGCTTCTAAGGTAAAATTAAACATAGTTTAGACAAGTTACTTACTAACCTTTATCTTGTGACTTGTAGGACCTTTACTCCTGCATTGTTAGAGATCAGCATTGACTTCACAAATTACTTGCCCAACTGATAAATATGCTATTGCTTACATTTTGTTTGAACAGAATTTGATACATAATACCTTCAGTAGGCCCTGATCCTGAGTGTGATCAAAAGTGTGAGAATGGAGGAGTTTGTGACGAAGGTCAGCGGTGCCTGTGTCGTGAAGGTTATATGGGGCAGTACTGCAACACTGCCCTCTGCTACCCCCAGTGTATGAATGGTGGCACGTGCACCATGCCAGGCCGCTGCTCCTGCCCTCCTGGCTTCCAGGGTCGCCACTGTGAAGGAGGTGAGAAAGATTTTAAAATATCCTCCGCAAGTAATTGTTACTTGGTATTTCAGCAAAGATTTTACAATTCTCTGTAGTCTTTTTGTTTGGTTAACCTTTCAGTACATAAACTTATGTTTCTCCTAGCATTACCATCCTAGTGAAAATGGTATTTTGGTGAGCATACCATGGCACGAGCTGAAGCATGCAGCAGGAAGACTGAGAACTTCAGCACCCATCACCTTAGAAGGCATTCAAATAGAATCGTAGCACAATAATTTGTCAACCACCTTTACATGGTTACATGTAAAGGTGTACATAACTTATAATAACTGCTGTATGCATTTATTTATTTCATACCAATTGAGACATTCAATGGAGAATTCCTTCTCTAATAATCTAAATATCTGTCTAAGCTGTGTATTTACTTAGGTAATTACTGTACATGACTTAGACAAATATTTAGATTATTATAGAAGGAATTCTTCATTGAAAGTCATCTTTGGTATGAGGAAAATCCATGCATACAGCAGTTATTATAAGACAGGTCAATTCTGTAACTGCATTTTTAATTTTGTTTAGTCTTTCATTTATATATAAAAAAAAAACATGTCCAGTGCACCCTCCCAAATCCAGAACTTCCTATAGCTGATCCCTGTAACCCTTAAACTGCACAAATTGTATATATACAATTTGAGTAAATGTTGCTGAACTGCACACGTCGTATATATACAATTGAGGGTGCCGCGCACGATTTAAGTGTCCCGCCGAGTAAAGGGGGCACCCATACGCTAGTCAGGGGTGATAGTAAGCAGACACCATTTTGGAAAAAATCCAGCATAGGCTGCCATATTGAGGGGACTTCAGTTACCCAAGAGACACCATACTGAGTGTCTAAACTAGAAAACTAGAAGAACTCTGAATATACAGAGTTCCTATATTTCTCAGAGTTCCTCAGTGGCTTCCTGTATCTAACTGACCACAGAGAAACAAAACTACATGGGGCTCACCAGGGGCAGAGAACAGAAGCCAGTAACCTCCAGAGATGGGGGAGTCAACGCTGGGTAACCATACCCAATGTCACACAAGCCCAATGCAGACTCATCACACTGACAAGATATCGTGCTACCAGCACCTTGTTGGAATGCCAAAATCCTGCACCAAAATATCAGCCCAAGATATGTTAGAAAAACAGCAAAGACACAAACTTCCAACATCATGTGCCTGAGGGATAGATCGCTTGCTGGCTGAATTTAACCAGTGCACTGCGCCCTTGTTAAATATGACAGCCCCATGGTGTTCACAACAAAAATTTTCTGAAAATATTGTGTTTTCTTTTGACATTGTTAATTAGTATCCAGGAAGTGAACACCTGTTGAAGATTTCGAGGATAGATGTCCTCGTGGCCCGGTCTCTGTACAGGCGTTCTGGTTGCTGGTCTGATCCATAGGCTGTTTGAGGTGGCTTGTTTGTCTGCTCAAAGAAGGAGAATTCTGCATATGAAGAAACCATTTCTAAAGGAAAGCAGGAAGCTCCTTTACTCTTCATCCAGAAGTGAAAGCCAACAAAAGCAAGGCCTTATAAAACAGATCCCCGACTGAAAGAATGACAGAGAACCCAGCGACGAAAAGAAAAACTAGAACCCAATCCAGAAATTAAGAAGGTTTAGAAGATGAGTGAGCTGGCTGGAGGTGAAAAAGGCACACGACAACTTGTAAAATGGCCCCAACAAAGTGTCAATACTGAATGCCAACAAAAATGGCTCAGCTATTGCCAAATGATGCGGAGCAGCAGTATTGGGCATAATACCTATTAACAAAGAGCCAAAACAAAAAAAGAAAAGACAACTGGAGCTGAAACCGTAGACAAGCGCCTAAGTGACAGAAATAGGCAGAGACCAGTAAGAGATCTCATACATTCACAGAGATAAAAAGATGCAAATGCGAAGCCAAAAAGTCTGCCACCAGTGGACGGTAGTGGTAAACCAAACTTAAATTGTCCAGACATGAAGATTAGAGGAGTGCCTGGAACCATCGAGGAATGTCATCAGACCAAACCACTGAAAGAGGTGGAACCTCAGAAAAGTGTTTGGGTTTGGACAACAAGCCAAAAGGGCCAGAAACCACAGCTAAGCTGGCCACCAAGGAGCTAGTAGGATCATCCTACCAGTAAATGTCTCCAGCCAGGACAGCACAAGGAGCAGCAGGTGAATTGGATGGAAGAGATACAGGAACTCCCAATGACTTCAGTCAAACCAAAAAGGCATCCACAGCAAGAGACTCATGACCAGGAATGTGGCCACATGGGACAGAAGCTGCCAGTTCCATGTGAATGCAAAGAGGCCCACTGGAGGGCAGCCAAATGCCCTTAGCCTGAAAAGATGAGTCATATACCATCCACTCTGTGGAAATGGAACAGCAGTGAGAGACCGTCCACAAGAACATTGGGACATGCCCACACGTGAACTGTCCTGAGCCAAACCCTGAAAGTCCTGAAAATGAACCACTCGGAATCCAGCCCCACAGAGGAAGAAACCGAATCACTCTTTACCAATTCAGACAGTGAATCATCAGGGAGCAGTAGAATTGGAGCCAAAGCAAAGGGCCCGAAGGCAGACAAATGAATCACGGTGCATGCCACATGGCAACGAACTCACAGACCATGCTGTGGCCTGTGCGGAAAAGAACTTGTCTGACAACCTTGAGAAGTATGATGAGCATTAGTTATAAAGCATCATCCCAAGGCTGAGGTGTTCATAAAACTGTTGAGCACCTGGAGATAAGGGTGCCATGATACTGAACCCCAGAAATCTTGAAGAGGAAACTGGTGAACCAGAAACCATTAAAGGGCCAATGGAGCCCGCATTTGACTCTCTCTGCAGTGGTGAAAAGGTCAAAACTGGAGAAATTGGTACATAGCTTGTTGTCAAATGCTGCCCGTGGGTTAAACCACACAAAGTTCAGGTTCCTGCAGAGCTTCTTGAGCAACTGCAGTGAAACCCAGGGTCTCCAAGACCAGCTGGAGTCACAGATCCAAGCGAAGCAGTGCTGCCTGCGGCAAGGAAATGGACAATGACTGGGGAATCCCAGACAAGGTCCAACTAGGTTTAAGCCTGTGACAGAACCAACTGGGATTTAAGCCAGATGACTAGGATCATGAACCTGGCCAGCTGGGAAAGAACCAGATCCCTGGCTTGCTGACATGTAGACTGACTGGGAGCCCAAACCAGCCAGTCATCAAGGTAGCCCAAGATGTGGACCCCTAGCAACCAAAGATGAGGCACCACAACCCATGTCTACCTTGGGAAAATCAGGACCTGAAGGCTAGGTGATGACAAAGAGCACTAGCGAATGTGTTCACACCAGGTGCTTGTGGGGGGGTGTAACTAGCGGGGCAATGACCTAATTACTGTGTTCCTGAGTGAGTGGACCATGTGTTAGCCTCTGGCTCTTGGTAGTCTTTTTATGACTCACAAAGGCCTGGTGTGATATGCTGTATATGGAACTATCCAGGCAGTAACTACTGGGAGTCACTGAGGGAGCTCTCTCAGAAAGGTAAGTGACTGAATCTCATTTTGTAATGCATAATTATTATCTATAGGCACACAAAACCATTACTGTACGTGTATTTACATATTATGAGTATAAATATTTATAAACATTTATTTAAAACTTTATATCGTGATATTTACTTTCTCAGGAATCTGCCAAAACAAGTGTCAGAATGGAGGAAAATGTGTACAGAAGGATACCTGTGACTGTCGCAGAGGTTACTATGGTAACCGGTGTGAGTTTAGTAAGTACACTCGTTACTTATACTGTATTTTATTGAGTAAATTGCTGATTCATGAAGTTAGTATGTGTAAGTGAGTTGTAAGAGTAAGTAAAGTGCAATTCACTTCATGTTAATATGGTGCCAGAGAATTACTTAATGTGAAGGGTGTACAATAGTAAATTAAAATAATCATGGTACAGATAGAAAACAGAATCTTGGGAGGGCAACATAGAATATAGTATGGAAGGAAGGGTTCAGAGAGGGTTACAGAACTTTGTGATGTGGCCACCTCCTGATGGGAACTCCCAGGAGGGAGTAAGGTGTCGGGTTATAGTTTGTGAATTTTGTACTCTAATGTGTGTGCAACTAACACAAAGTTATAACTATTGTGAGTAATATGTAAAACAATGTGTGAGGAGTCCTTATCACTGCTCCTATGGATTTTCTCAATGATATATCACCATAATGTGATTTCTCTGTGTATTGAAAAAGGGGGCGTCAGAGGTAGAATTACTGAACGACAGAGTCAGAGTGCATGGGAGGGGGGGGGGAATGGTGTGAAACCCTGGTTTGGCTTCAGTGGAAGCCTCAGGAATCCTCTAAGGTGTAGTAGTACCACAGGTTGCAATTCTTTTGACCATGTTGTGGCGTAGTCATCTAGAGCGCATAGGTTCGAATCCTCGTCACAGCTCTTGTGGATTTGTTCAAGTATTAGTGAGCTTTCAGAGCCAAAATTATATATTTAAGGTTTTTATTTCTGCCTGGAAAGTTGAAATTTAAAAAAAAAAGATTTCAGGTTAATTATCATCATGAAGTGCCATTAGTAGCCCCAAATTTTACATTAAAATATTAACACATAAATACTATATACTCATTGCTCAATTCTAAATTAATTTATACTGTACAGTGTAAAATTGTTTTGTCCACTACCTATTCATGGTGTTTGCAAAAACATGCAAATGAGACTGAATGTTGGAATATTTGTAAATATGCTAATCTGATATATCTTAGAAAAAATATATACCAGGTACAAGTCAACACATTTTAATTCAACAATAATCTCCAGGTAAATGTGTTATCCCTTGTGTCAATGGTGGTCGCTGCCGTGATGTCAACAAATGTCGATGTCCACTTGGTTTTACTGGTGATCATTGTGAAGTAGTATTGAGTCAAGATGTCAAGGCAACATCCATATCACGTTGCAGTAGACGCTGTCGTCATGGTACTTGCAAGAAATCAACATGTTACTGCCACGAAGGTTACACAGGTCGCTGGTGCCGAAGGCGTAAGTATTGGCATGGAGTATTTTTGTGTTTGCTATAGTTTTGAATCTTTGCAACAAGATGGTTGATTATTTTGGTGCAGATATAGGCTATATTCTCCAAGTTCATAATAAGCAACTATAAATGCCTTTGCTAAGGCAAGCCTTTGAGGGTTCAGTGGCTTTATCACAATGAGTAGCAATTAGTGAATGACGACCTTAACCACCGTGCTGCTTGGCCTTAAAATATGACATTCCCGCTGTGCGCTGAAAATAAATTCTTTGCAAAAACTTATTTTCTCTTATATTGTTAAAATGCAGTCTCTGATCATGGGAAACTAAACAAAAAAATTGTATGTGACATACTTTAGCAGTGATGGAGCTGAGAAGTTGAGTAAATTATGGGCGCCGAGTGATGGGGGAATACAAGGGAAGGTAGGGGGAACAAGCTTGCACTAGTTTCATCAATTTTCAATTGTTTATATTGTTGGGGGGAGTTCTTTTGGTGATTTTGAGGTGTCAATCTTTCCATATAACCAACAATGATCTGTTTTGGTTTGCTGACTTTGTGGGTGCTTCCCCAGTGGTGGAGGACATAATTCAAATTCACTGACAATCTTATCATAATGCCACTGCTCTCTGCACCTCTTTAGAGGAGGCCAGGATCTGGCTCGTGGTCTTTGGAAGACCTAAAAGAACTCTGGGACTGATGGTACCTAGTAGTTTGGCATTGTATGAGCATTGTAGCTTCAGGGCGCTACCAGGGATCACCCGAAAACTGGCATTTCATTACATTCAATGCTGGTTTTATACTCATTGCAGATAATGAAGTACGTCAATTATCATTTTTATTTCAGGTGGTGGCAGGATTCGTGGCAGACAAGGAAAGAAAGTGTGGGTGTGAATTGTGGCGCCAGAGTCTAGGTGTAACATGTAGACAAAGCCATCCCTGCCAGAGTCTAGGTGTAACATGTAGACAAAGCCATCCCTGCCAGAGTCTAGGTATAACATGTAGACAAAGCCATCCCTGCCAGAGGCACTCACACCCTCGGACTGACTGCATTTCTCCTCAAACACACCAGTAGTTAGGAAAAGTAATCACATTTATATATAATTTTATTCTTTATTAAACAGATAAAACATTATCACCATGCCCATCACAGGTTTGAAAGCTCCTCATCGTACTTGCTAACATAGTACACCAATCTTTAGAAGGAAAATTTGTTATGAGTTTTTGTTGTTGTTGATGTAAAAAAAATGAAATATAGTCAGTTTATTATTATTACTATTACTAGCTGTACCCAGCCACTTGTTGCTGTGAGCCACAGCAACCTTTCCCCATCTCCCAGTCCTCCCCACCATTACCCCCATTCCCGTCCCCTCGTCCTCCGAACCATTTCTCGCACCCCCGTCACCTCGTCCTCCCAACCATTCCCCCACTACCCCGTCACCTCGTCCTCCCCATCATTCTCCCCTTCCCGTCCCTTTGTCCACCCCACCATCCCCCACTACACCGTTCCCTTGTCCTCCTAACCATTCCCCACTCCACTATCTCCCCCTCACCCATCCCCCACTACACCGTTCCCTTGTCCTCCTAACCATTCCCCACTCCACCATCTCCCCCTCACCCATCCCCTTGTCCTCCCCACCATTCTCTGTTCCCATGTCCCCTCGTCCCCACCATCCCCAACTCCCCTGTTCCCTCATCCTCCCCACAATTACCCCCTCCCCTGTCCCCTCTTCCTCCCCACCATTCCCCATTCCCGTCCCCTCGTCCTCCCCACCATTCCCCACTCCCTCGTCCGATGCATTCCCAAATGATCTGATGTTCCCATCAGAAAATTAGGAACATCAAATGATCTGATGTTCCCATCACTGAAATATAAAAAAAAACGGTTAAAAAAACGAAATGAAAAACAATGAAAAAATAAAAAATAAACTATACTCACGAAATGAACGGTATGGTAAACAACACAGCTCAATTCCAATGCAATGTCACACAAAATAATTAAATCAAAATTAAAATAAATCGAAATCTATGAAAATTCAATTTATCAATGCAATCGGAAACATTGAAATGGAATCGTAACATATTTAGTATAGCGTGTGTTGCTATTACGTGCAACAGATGGCGCTGTTTTTCAAAAAAAGCATGTTTTTACCTGTCACAGGTGTGGCATCTATATAGTAGGTATATAAAAACATGTGCTTATTCGAATGGAACGTTGTGTCAAAATTTCAAAGCAATCGGTGAAGAACTTTCGGAGATTACAGCGTGTGTTGCTCTTACGTCCAACAGTTGGCGCTGTTTTTCAAAAAAAGCATGTTTTTTCCTGTCACAGGTGAGGCATGTATATAGTAGGTATATAAAAACACGCGCCTATTCGAATGCAACGTTGTGTCAAAATTTCAAAGCAATCGGTAAAGAGGTTTCGAAGATTTCCCTCACATGAAAAACACAGTTTAAAAAAAATCATGTTTTCTTCCATCAGACGTGACATCTATATAGTATGCATATAAAAACACGCTCGAATGCTAATGGAACGGTGTGTCCAAATTTCAAAGCAATCGGTGAAGACCTTTCGGAGATTAGCGATTTTGAACAAACAAACATTTACATTTTTATTTATATAGATAGCATATTGTGATTATTAATCTTATCACGGAAGTATTACTCACCATACTAGCAACCTAGTCAACTTCTTCACACAACTTTTCATAGTTTTCCAAATCGTTTAAACAGAACATTTGGTTACATAATGGCATTTTCATCTGCACGTAAGTAAATGTCACCACTTTTGCATCATTCTCGAGAAATCGCCCATATTTAAATGTTTCATCAAAGTGTCACAAGGCTTCCTCTAAGGATAGGCAGGAAAGATGATAGGCAAAATAAACACCATAAGTCCCACTAAAGTAACTGTTCAGGGATTGAATCCTTTTTCTTTTTTTTCTTTTTTTATAATACTTGTATATAAGTCATAATCTTGGAAGTATGACAAATTCTTTGAAATGTCTTGAATATGTTCCAATTGTAGGATTAGCATAACTGTTTAGTATAACTATCTTGATCCTATCTTTAGCCTTATTGTCAACATAGAATGTTATCCAATGCCCCATTTTATTACGGGAACCAGAGTCCAGAGTGTTGATTATGAACATTACAGTCTGTCTATATACCTTTTTCACTATTTTCCTTAGGTCATTAGCTAGGAAACATTCCAGATAGTTCACCCACATGCCTAAATTACCTCTAATTGCTTCATTTATTTCCAAACAATTCATAATAATAATATTTATCCTCTCGTATCGCAAATAACTCGTCGCTCTGCGTTAATGCTGATCACTCCTGTTGTAGATCCATAAACTAGAATGACTATTTCTCGTTACACTGCATTTAAATTCCAAAGCAATCCTTAGATTACCACTCTTTTTCAAGTGGGATGGTGTCATCTATATCCTCAGGTTGTAAATTAAAGACCCGTATTGTTCTGCCATTCACATATGTATCATAAGTCAATACAGGTATACTGTCTTTATCAAACCCTAAGGCTTGTAATGCTGTGTAATACAACTTGGCACAGTTATGAGGGAAGTCACACCCAATATTAGTGCTATTCTGCGATATTAATACTTAGCTCACAGTTTTCCAAATAAAGGGAGTTGCGATTATATATTTCAGACACAGCCTCCATATCAAGGATAACCATATATATAAATGTTCGGTTATCACAGTACCCAATGGTTGGTCTTAAGTTATCGAGTGTTGACCCATACCCAATACTGTATGTGAGTTTTATATAAAGTTTTATTGAAAGTACAGTATATGTAATAGGGAAGTTGTTCTGCACCATAACCTTATTAATGGTTATTAATCCCTCAGGATATGGTACTATACTACCCTGTCGATCCATAGACGTGCAGACTTGATATTATATTTAAAATTGGCTTCTTCATTATCACTGAACAAGCCAATTTTGGTGCACACACAACCCATTTATCTGCCTGTAATTCAAGTCTCACTCTAATGTCTACATTATCCAAAACATATTCACTAACAGATGTATCATCCAACATTAGTTTGAAGCATGTATTCAACCTGCTTGCTTTCATATCTATCATCCGCTGCTTCTCTCCTGCCGTAGCATTAGTGAAATAAGCAGCTTCAATATTACTAGGATCAACACGATTAAAAAAACTGAGTCAGTTTATCATACCGTGTAGCCTTACATCCCGAAATCGTAGATAACAGCTTTACGTACAACTAGAATGAGAATAAGGAACTGGTTTCTTCTATTATTTCGTTAAAATACACAATAGCTGATTTGAATAGAGTTTGCGCCAGTCCGTTCACTAACGGATGCTACATTGCTATGGATGCTACATTCATCTGCTACATAGATGCTACATTACTATGGATGCTACATTCTATGTTCTCTGTTAACCCCCAATGTACCTTCTTGCATATAAATAAATAAATAAACGAGACTTTTTAGCATATGCTAAAAGGGTTGTTCCATCATCTTCAGTTAGATCAGTAGACAACTCCAAAGCAATAGATGGGTATAAATTGGATAAGTTTAGATTTAGGAAAGACTTGGGTAAATACTGGTTCAGTAACAGGGTTGTTGATTTGTGGAACCAATTGCCGCGTAACATTGTGGAGGTGGGGTCCCTCGATTGTTTCAAGCACGGGTTGGACAAGTATATGAGTGGGATTGGGTGGTTATAGAATAGGAGCTGCCTCGTATGGGCCAATAGGCCTTCTGCAGTTACCTTTGTTCTTATGTTCTTCTTATGTAGATAAGTTCACCAGCTGACCATTCACTCCCTTTATGATGAATTCCAGATAGGTGTCTGTAAACTTATTATTAACCCCAGAATTCACAGGTATTATATCCACTGTTTGCCTGCTTGCAATAGTTGATTCCACCAATCTGGGAGAAAATACTTTAGGAAAAGCCTCACTAACAGTAGCAGTATAGTGTTCTAATGGCACCTGAAGCCACAGTGCATTGTACCCCAAACATGATCACGCTTTAAACAACACTGAGTGAGAAGAATTTATGACAACACATCGTTATACAGTACAGTATTTCGCTTTAGTAAATCGTTGGATGTTTACTAATTTCTTTTTTGTTCTGCACTCTTCCCCCCATAATTTGTTTCCCTACACCTTTCAGTGATTCAACTCCACGTTTCTTAAGAGACTGTTTGAAAGTTTGCCATTATTAATGTCATGTAACGCGTTCTGCCCCAAGCTGAGCGCGGCTGGTGCCAATGTTCTCATTATAAAGGGAGCCACTTGTCGCACCATCTCGCTTAAAAAAGATAGTATCCGTCTTCCATGTGTATAACGCCTACTGCTGTTGAAAACCTGTATATTATCAGTCCCACTTCCTCTAGGGGGGGGGGGTTAGCAGTATGTATAATTCCTCAACAGAGGGAGGAATAAAGTTAACATTCATTTCACCACTTGTTTCTGACGAATGAGGAGTAGACAAAGTGCTGGTATTATATACTACCTGCTACAGGACGCACATGTAAGACCTCTATAGTACACCCACGTTCATCAAAATGTATGGGCTTCCCACCCTGATCTCTAATAGTGGTACTGACTCCGTCTGTCATATTGGTGTTAAGCCGTACGTAAAGCTTCTTATTGTTGCTATTTTCACTTCCATTTAGGGAGATTACACCCAAAATATTAATGGATTGATTGCTGTATCTAGTAGAAGAGATCTTGTCGCAATAAATACATAGAATATCAACCCCTCTTCTAGGCATTGGTGGGGAAGAGACATATGTCAATCACACTCGAGGCGTTTCTTCTCTTTGCAAATATATCATTCATATTCGGGAACTACACCTAACACTTTTCCGAGAACACTCCTGAATGATAATGAAACTCTACAAACATTTCTGCGCCCCGTCACTGAGCTAATATTCTCCTCACTAATCACAGTATTAAACTTGTTTTGATTAGAGGAAGAATAATACTTAATACGTGGACGTGTTGCTCCCCATCTTCGTGTTTGCACATGGCTGCTGCAGCTGGATATTGTGAATTTGTTCTCGACTGTTGCAGTGATACAGTGCCTTTGTGTGTTGAGAAAATGGGTGAGGCGGTCTGCCTAGGTGATAGACGATCCTGCACTGGGCCTGAAGAATATGAGAGTGAGAATGACAGACAAGATGATACCAGGTCGTATCAAACAGTAACGAACAGATATAAACGGCGAAATATTCACAGACAGCGAGACAGTGAAGATGAAATAA